GATGGGATTAGTGCCCTTAGAAGAAGAGACCACAGAGCTAGCCCTCTGCCGTGTGAGGACACGGCGAGAAGGGGGCAGTCTGCAACCAGGACGCAGGCGCTCCCCAGGAATGAACTGGCCGGCACCTTGATCCTGGACTTCCAGCCTCCAGAACTGTGAGAAATAAATGTCTGTGGTTTAAGCTACTGAGCCTATCGTATTTTATGGCAGCCCAAGATGACTGAGACAACCTTACCTGCACTTTCCCAAATCTGCGTGGTTCAAATAAAGGACCCTCCCCAACTTCCCCTACCCTCCACCCCCCACCTCTTCACGCCCCCCCTCCCCCACCGGCAGCTGGTTTTTCCACCTCTTCACGCCCCCCCGCACCCACCGGCAGGTGGACAGTCTGCCTCATCTGTGCGCCCTCGGCCAAAATCCGGACTGCGGAAGGCGTCCTGATACTCAGGAGCCGTGGCCGTCCTAAGCCTCATTTTCTACACCTATAAAAGGCAGATAATTAATATTTACCTTGAAGTGTTGCTGGCAGTTACACGAACTAATGTAAGTCCTGCACAAAGGTCTTCAATGAGTGATGGCTGTTATTATTAACACGTGAGGGCAAAGGAAGGCCTGCGGGTGAGATGACTCGCTGGCACTGTGGGAGGAAGGCCTGCTCTGGCTGCGGTCACCCACCGGGGCCTGAATGGACGGGCTGCCGTGGGTTATCGCAAGACAAAATGAAAGCGAGCATGGACAGGAAAGGTTCCCAGCCCAGTGCCTGGCCTGGAGCCGGTGGGGAAAGGATGTTATTTGGATCAAAAGCTCCCTGAATGGTCTGATGTCAGGAGCATGGTTTAGAGCAGAGCTCCCCAGCTGACCTGGCATGAAGGGGTTCCAGGCGCTAGAGAGTGAGTCCCCACCCCCAAATCTGAGCAGCGAGGCAGGGCCCGGGGGGCTGGAGCCCTGGGTTGTCATCGATGACTGTCCCCTCCCACCCCCAGCCCCAGAGGGCAGGACTGACAGTTTCCTTGTTTCTGTGTACCATGGTGTGAATAAAGACTGGGCACAGTGGTGTGAGTGACGCTGTCCAGGCGAGGGAGGTGAGTGCGACTGGGGCGAAGGACCCTCAAACCCGCAGGGTCCAGAATCTCTCCACACACTTCCCCACTCGTGCCCAGGGCAGAGCTGGCACAGAGCAATCAGAGAGGCCACCCCTGGCATCGAGGCTGACATTTTAAGGTTCTGACAGAGCTGCTAGTATCCTGGGGACACCTTCATCTGTGGGCGACATGGGGAGGGGCGATGCTGAGGCTAAACTTTGCCAGGACTGTTTATTCTAGGGACAGAGCTCTCCCGATGACAGCACAGTGACCGGGTCCCTTGTGGACCCCGGCCTCCAGCAGCCCCAGTGAAAGCTCCAAAACTAACAGTGTACATGGGGGCTCTGACATGACACGAGCTGCTGTCACCAGGGCCCAGAGTCTCCGCTTCCTCTCCCATGTTTTCACGAGCTCTTTTGTCCCCAGCATACAGCACATACTCCATAACGCGCGCTTACATTCTATGCCTTGCCTAATTCCAAAATCCATTAGAGATTGAACCAACTTTGATCGAAAAGTCAGCAAAGATTTATTACTCCTTTCCTATGTCCCCAGCCTTGGGCTGAGTGTCACCAAAGATACAATGAAAGAATGAGTGGGGGTCTCAGGGAGAGGCAGGGAGCAGATGGCTGACCGTGGCTGGGACAGACTAGTTCAGAACGTGGTGGAAGAGGAAAGACAGAGAGAGAGAGAGAGAGACAGAGAGAGAAACACGATCAGAGACAGAGACAGACAGAAATGAGGAGAGAAGACAAGAGAAGACGGAAGAGAAGGGGCTATGCAATCTGTGGATCAGTTGTACATTCTCACTCCTAAATGCCTTCACGCTGCCGCCAGCTCGGCCTCAGAGCTGGGCTCCACTGGGTAGTCAAGTACTTGATTCTATTTTTAATGGCAACCCAGAAGCTGTTTAGCAGAGGGCAGGATGACATGGTGGAACGAGTTCTGCAGTGAGACAAAGGCTCAAATCTGGCCCTGCAGCCTCCCACCTGGGCACCTCCGGGCAAGAGCCTTACCCTCTCTGAGCCTGTTTCCGTCTGCAGATGGGGGTGAGGACAGGGCCCTCTCAGGGCTGTCGCGAGCATGCCACGCAGTAACATGCGCCAGGCTCTGGGTACCTGTCCAATAGAGGGGCAGAAGGGGAAGACCCAGCTTTGTGGGGGGCACAGAAAGAGGCTGGGGCGTGTCGGCCCTGGTGAAGCGGCTCCAGGCAACACCCAGCTGCCCTTCTGCGTGGAGCCCTGCCAGACTGCGTGGACGCTTCACGCACGCAGAGAGCTGGGCTCCCTCCCCTGGCCTGGCGACATCACTTATGAGAACAACCTGGAAACTGCACCCGCTGGTCGGGAGCCGCCAGCAAACCCTTCAGAGTCTCATCGTCAGTTTCTCCAGTTTCTGCTCAGAGGTTTGATCTTTTCTTTCTTTCCTTTTTTTTCTTTCATGTCACGCTTTGGGGCACTTTGCTAGAGAACAGGTGGAAATAACACATTTTACACGCAAAAGCCAACACTGAGGTGACCGAGTCTCTCCACGCCCCCAGGGAGTGGCCTGGGGTTAATGTGCTATATCTGTGTCTCAGCCTGGACACCGCTGGCAGGTGGTGGCATCGTAGATGTCAGATGGCTGTCGGACTCTGTGATGTGCTTTTATGAGATAAGCTGGCAGTTTCCACCCGGGTTGAGGGATTGTCATGATGCTTTTAGCCATGACAAGGAATCCTGACCAGCTCTCCCAGCCCTGGGTTGGCCCAAGAATGTTCCAGCCCTGGGAGGTGGTCTGGTTTGGCCCTCGAATCCCAGAGTCCTGGGGGATGACAGAGGCATTGTTGAAGTTTCCCAAATGGCAATGCCCCACCCTCCCTCTGCCAGCGGAGCCAGCTGCCCAGCTGCCCCAGCTTGGGGCTCTCTTGATGAACACATCAATCCTAATTAGGGTGAAGAATTAATAAAGGAGGCATTCGAACCTCTGCAGAGGCCGGGCTTGCCGGCATGGAGGACTTAGTTCCAATTTCCACTGGGAAACTGGAAGGCCTGGGGTCCACGTGTGCATTTGGGTGGTGACAGTGACATGACTTACTGTGCCCCATGGACAGTGCACAGTGGAGCCTGTGAGGCGGGCACTGCAGCCCCTGCTCCGTGTCTAACTCCGGTGCTATGGCAGGTAGTGATGTGGGTACATTCTCCAGATGAGAGGAGTAGGTGTTCGTGATCTGAGCAACTGCACGCCAAAAATGATGTTTTTCAAAAGAAAAAAGGAGGGTGTGATCGTGGGCCCACACCAATCCTTTGTGCGGCTGTGTTTCCCAAACTACTGATTGCACATCCCTGCTCCTGGAATACTCCACGAAGCTCCAAATCGCAAAGGGCAAAGCAGCCTAGTTCGGGAGAGGATGTGGGGGCAGAGGTGGGTAGGATTCTAGAGATAACAGGCACGGTCTAGAGGGGGAGAAAGGGGCCAAGTTGGACCTCGCCAAGCCAACCCAGCTTTACAAAGCCTCTTTTCAGATGACTCCAAATGTGGCCAGCAGGGCCATCTTTTTAAGAGCTCCCGGCCAACCCCCACCAAGAGCCAACCACACTAAACTATCTGCAGGGGCTGTAAATGCTTTAAGAAAGGCTAGGTACCTAGGAGAACTTCCCGAACAACTGAAGGGCGGAGTTAACACGCCGGGGAAAGGTTACAGAAAAACAAAGATGAAACTCTGTCCAGGGATTTTTGCAAGGAAAGCTCTGCCAACTTCCCCTATCCTGTCTCCAATGTGAAAGCCAAGACCGAGCGGCAGACCCGTCCGCAATCTGGCTGGGACCAGACGGCCCCTCCACAGCCACCTGTTAGTTCAAGTCCCGCAGCCGGGCGGGCAGGCACCGGGAGGCGCTGAAGTCGGGCGCATTTCACCACTGGAGGCGTCCGGGCCCCTTCCCCGGAGGGAGCGGTCCCCACAGTCCTGGGACACCCAATTCCGGTTCCTAGGGGGATTCCAACCTTACAATACCTAATATTCGGCCTCTTAGCGCATCAGAGGGTCGCGGCGCCCCGCCCTTTCTGCCCTGACAGGGCGGCCACGCCCCTCCCAGACCGTTCCCGGTCCGCTGGTCTCCAGGGCGCACCCCAGTTCTCTGCCGAGATCTCCTGCTGCCTTCTTGCCAAGGGACCACCACGGAGGGCTCGCTGTCCCAATTAGGAGGGGACTGGGTGTCGCTCCCCTCCCCTCCACACCCAGCCCGCAGGAGCGGACCAGTAGCCCGGTGGAAGAGTAGGGTGCGGATTAGGGTTTCGGCGGCGTCAAGCTCTGGCGACCCGACTCACCCAGACCCGCTAGTTGCTCAGCCCCCACCCCCATCCCTCGGCCGGGGCCTGAAGCTAGTGACGAGCGGTCCCGGCGCTCCCCGCCCCCGGCCAGCCCCGCCCCAGGATGGCCAGTTCCCATAGCAATCGCACAGACACCGGTTGCCAAGCAACCCTCCCCCTCCTCCCTCCCCTCCTCTCGCGTTCGTTCCCCCCAACCCCAGCCTCCTCCCGCCCCCTCGCCAGCCTCCACCTCCCCCGGGGGCGCCGGCGCGGCCCCTCGGGATCTCTCCGGTGTCCGGCTGCGCGCGCGCGCGTGAGTTTCGGGGTGTTTCATTGTGTGTGTGCGCGAGGGGGTGTGCGTGTGCTAGTGGAGAGTTTGTGGGATCGGTGTGTTGGGGGTCCCCAGCCGGGAGGGACCCGAGCTGGTACACAGCTGGCCGGAAGGGAACCCGCACGCTCTCTCCAGCTCCTTTGTGTCTCGCGCGGAGCCAGCGCCGCGCCCACCCCCCACCTCCCCCGCGCCCTGGACAGGGTGTGTGCGTGCGTGTGTGTGTGTGCGTGTGTGTGTGTGTGTGTGTGCGCGCGCGCGCGCGTGTGTGTGTTGTTGGGGGGTGCCGGGGCACACAGTACCTTCGATGCAGCATACCCGCCACAACCCCGAGTGGGTGAGGTCGCCGCGGGCGCGGCGGGGCGGGGGCCCGTCGTCCATGGTCAGGTTGGTGCCGTTGCAGATGTGTGCGCTGGAGTAGAGCCAGTAGTCGGTGCCGATGGCGATGGCCATGAGCGAGAAGGCGGCGAAGGCTCCGGCCGTGGTCAGCAGCA